GGGGAGGGGAAGGGGAAGGGCGAATGGAGGGAGGGTATTGGTGGGATCTCACCTAATGTGCACCGGGCCAGGGTACATTTGAAAACCACTTTACAAATGTCTTGCCACAAAAAATAAGTAAGTGAGGTGGTGGTTATGTTAATCAGTTTGATTTAAGCTTTCTACATTGTATATCAAACCATCACATTGTACCCCATAAATGTATAGTTATGATTTAATAAAAATTAAGTTAAAAAAATAAACTGCAATCTTATAGTAAGGTAGGAGCTACTGGGTTAAATGATGAAACTGCCCATATAAACCACTTGAAGAATTCTCTGTCTACTATCATTTTAAATGTGGCCCTGTTTGGCCATAAACACCCACTGTGTGTCTCTCACTTAATTACGCACAGAATCTAGCACTTAGGTTCCCAGTTTATATTTGTTGACAGATGATTAAAAGGCTGAGAACTTGTATATCCCTTCACAGCGCTTCTTCGAGAAACTTTCTTAGCATCAGTGTTTTGTTTGCTGAGTCTTGAGGCCTTACTGGGGACTCTTGACGAGGCCGGCAGCCTTCACAAGCTTGGTCTAGTAAATGGAGTGAGGAAATATTGATAGAAAGCTCACTGTGTGTCTTTTTTCAAATTACGCTATGGAAATCATTGGAAGTTCTTTAGTTAATAATATTCTAAGAGTCTCATCAAAACGTTATTTCTATTGCAGTGGTCATATGGCTTTGGAAAATATAATTCTTGGCAGGTTTAAAAAGCAGAAACAATTCAAGCGACCTTATTGATGTTGAATTTTATTGAAATTGAATGTAGATATCTACAGGTCTAACCCCTCATCAAGGTCCGAGAAATTAAATGACCTGTTAATATCATTCAAAACGACTCCCTGACTAGGACCTGGAAGTCATTCTGGCATTTAGATAATTTTGTTGTAAATGAAATTGAATGATAGAAAGAGGAAATCAAAGAGCTGAAACATAAGTCAAACATTGTCTGTAGGCTCTTGGTGCATAGAAAAAGAACGCTTCATCAGCTTGGTGATTTGGATTTAGGGCTCTTTGGAAACCAGAACAGCTATTTGATTACATGGTCAGCTGTGACAAGTAAATCAGGGGGAGGCATTTGAGCCTTAATATCGTCACCTTACTATCTCTTTAGCCAACTTGAGCAATTAAGAGTATTATGCTTAGCAATTTTTTTTTCTTTTTGCTTGCCCTTATGCATGGCTGTTTTGATTTCTTTAAAATCCTCAAGGACATGGTGTGATTTGAATATAATGTTTTGAATTTAACAAAATTGTTGGACATATAAACTTAAGTTTTGCTGAAATTAATACATGATTTTCTTGACCAATTATTTTTTATATCAGAGAATATTGATTAAATCTTTAGAAAGATGTAACAGTCTTTGCTCACAAAGGACTATATCTCCAAAACCACGTACCATTTCTGAGCTAAAGACTAGTCAACCTGTACACGTGCTGGTGTTGCTGTATACCCACACCCGCCATTCAGATTATAGAAATCTTGTATTTGGCTAATACAGTGATTGGTCCGTGTGACAATTTCTATAATGCATATTCACTTACGACTTCTTTTAATTAGTTGTCATCTAGCATCTGATGAAAGGCGCATGAAATGCAGCATGTGTCTGAATTTTAGAAGTTGTGATTGTTTAGGCAAATGTGATAAAGAATATAAAACCACGTGAAAAGACACAAGATGAGTTGCTAAGCTTGAATATTCAATCCTGGGTCTGTGCCACTGTCTGTCTTTTAAATTAAAGGCTGCCTGTGTTTACTGAATTGCCTAATCACCAATAGTAAATTTCAAAAATGACTTTATATTTTGTTTTGGTATATTTCTGACTCTTCACTGAGAGTATGGGCTCCCGATGGCAGTGTCTGTCTTATTTTTTAATCTCGTGTCTGACATATATCGCAAGTGCTCGATAACTATTTTTTGTTTGTATTCACTTTTCTGAAATTTTCAGCGTCTTGGGTTTTTTTTCCTTGGCTTCTCCTGAGAATCTTATTCTCTTGTTCTTTTTGAATACACCTCTCTTAAGTATGTTGGGTAACTGGTTTTCCCTAATCCCCTGGATAAGTGCCCTTGATACTGGCAACAGGATCTACGCGTGTTTGTATTGAAAAACACCGGGCAGACGACAGTGTATGTAAATGTTGATGAGTAGGTTTAGCTAAACCATTTTATGTCAAGGACTACAGATGTTAGGAAGCCTTTTTAGTGCTTTTATTTGCACTACTGTAACAAATCCTGTGATTTTAATGAGAAAGTCATTCAAACATTCTTTGTTAATTAGGGGAAAAGTAAAACTGTGGATCCAAATGTATAAAATTATCCTTCCCAAAGGTTTATTCAAATATAGCATATATGTATTTTTAGATATTTAAACATAAATGCTCATGTGGCCATATGGCTGTGAATGAAGGAAATTAAGTTCATATGTTTTCTTTCTTTGAGTGTCTTTCCCTAAGAATTATGTAGTCAGCCCTCGGCATCCGTGGGCTCTGTGTTGGTGGATTCAACCAACTACAGATCAGTGGTGTGTCTGTACTGACGATGTTCTATTCTTATCATTATTCCCTAGACGATAGAGTATAACAAATATTTACACTGCATCTGTATTACAGTTGGCATTGTAAGTAATCTAAGGGTGACTTAAATCACATGGGAGGGTGTGTGGCTTATGTGCAAACACCTTTACCGGAGGGAGTTGAACACCCATGGATTTTAGTGTCCTTGGGGATCCCGGACCCAGTCGCCATGGATCCTGAGAGATGACCGTAGTGAGCTTCAGATATGCTATAAAGACACGTTATACCTCCCACCTCTGCAAAGTCAGAGAACTACATTACCTTAATGTATCTGGGAGTCAGATAACTATATGCTTTAGGTGAAATGGGATCAGGTAACAGTGAGTGGCTACAACTGTCTTTGATAAAATGACCATTACCAGAACATTAAATGATTCTACTGGGAGTTTTGTTTCAAAGAAATGCTTAAGAGTGAATAGTATTATATAATTTCAAGAGAGAGAAAACCATATATTTTGGTGCAGTATTTGTGAGGAAATTATTCATAGTTCATGGTACTGAGAAGTGTCCCAAGGCTGCTCTGGGTGAATCAAGGGGTCTGTTTGGACAGAATAGGTTTAGTGGCATTGAACCACATCCAGTCCACGTTCACCTTTAACTACCCACTAGCCATAGAAAGTGCATAGAAATTACATTCTTGGCTCGGCGCCTATAGCTCAACCGGCTAAGGCGCCAGCCACGTACACCTAAGGTGGCGGGTTCAAATCCCCAGCCTGGACCCGCCAAACTACAATGACGGCTGCAACCAAAAAATAGCCGGGCGTTGTGGCGGGCGCCTGTAGTCCTAGCTACTTGGGAGGCGGAGGCAGGAGACTCGCTTGAGCCCAGGAGTTGGAGGTTGCTGTGAGCTGTAATGCCACGGCACTCTACCCAGGGGGACAGCTTGAGGCTCTGTCTCAAAAAAAAAAAAAAAAAGCAATTACATTCTTACTTGAGCTGCGAGACACATCTACCTGTTACAGACAAAAACTCAAACACCATAATTTTTAAAGGACTCTTCCACACAATCAGCAGTTTCAATGCCATGAATTCCACATTTCAGTTTCTCTCTTTCTTTCAAGAAAGTTACATAATGGCTTTCAGCTATGCCTCTACTCACAAAATGTGTCCAGATTGTTTTTGCAATACGATTAGTCAGATTTCCCTGTGGGTGACGAGTACGGGGGGAGGTCAGATCTGGAGTCAGTTTGTGTTCTCTTCCTTTGCCATCATTCTTTATGCCTTGACATTTCAAATCAGTCATTAAAAAATAGCTAAAGGCAGCTGCGGTTTAGTTCTTTGCTCTGGTGAGAATAGTCATACCCTTGCTTACTCTAGCAGGGAGAATTGCCTTGGTAAGTATAACTTAGATATACAAAGTCTAATATTTAGGTCAACCGAAAATTCAGTTTGTATCTCAGAGAACTCACTCTTTAAAGATGGTGAGAATAGGGTGCAAACCTAGCTGTTTATTTGAAATTAAACTTATGTATTTTCACTATCTGCCTCTATAAAATAAACATATTAGAAGTTTACAGGTATATTGGGCAAGAAGCACCTCATATTGGCTCCTATTAATTTAGTATATGACTAATAGATTTCACTTGATTAAGAATCTTCAGTAAATTTGTCCTATAATGAATTCATAGCATGTAACCAAACACAAATACTTTTTGTAAATCTTGAAATTATTAAGAGTACTGTATTTTGTTGTGATTATTATAATATTGTTCTGAGAAATTTCAAGTTATTTTTAACCTAAATTTTGCTGAAATGGGTCTATGGAACCGTGTGACTCGTGAGGGTCAGTAGGGTATAGTGTTTATGCTTTCTAGCTGGTGGTCCTTAGTAAATTCATAAAGCCCTTCATGCATTTTCTCATCTATAAAATGGAAGCAACAATTAGTAATACATCATGGAGATTTTGGAAGGATCAAATGAGTTAATAAGAGATTAATAATCATTAATGTTAAAATGTTTAGCCATGAGCCTGGAAATAATAAGTGTTCAACAAATATTAGCCGCATAATAGTTATTATTAATTTTCATACTCTATAGGGATTGAAAACATTCTGGAGATACCCTTGATAGATTGGTATAGCTACTAAATTTTGTGTAATTGAAATTCAAGATGCTTTCCATGTCCACATACTAATAACAAGGGGCTAAGTCATTGGGTTAGTCCAAGGGATGCTCCTGAATTTGTGCCATGGAGTTCGGCCCTTTGGAGAGTACAGGGTTGTTTCCCTCAAGAAGCTTAACTTAAAATGCTTAATTTGAGATGGTAGGAGAGATGACCTAGATACGCTATAGGAAATTGGCTCACTTGGGCTCCAGGAGTCTTGCACTTTATACCACATTGCACAACAAGCCCGTTTTTTGTTCTTGAACAGGTTTCTGCATGTTTGTGCTGAGCTTGGTGAAGAAACACTATCGTCTGCAGTTTTACATGGTGTGTATCAACGCGTAGCCATCAATGTGATGAAAACCTTCTCCTTTATTTTTCTGTAGCGAGAAGATCTCACCTAAACCGCTAATTCACGTCTTGCCTCAATATGAGGGGGCCTTTCAATTTCAGGTGACGATTAAATATAGAACATTGAGGCTGAAAATGTTTTGAGGGTTTTAAAATTTTAACTATTTTTCAAAGCTTCCTAAAACCTTTTTCTCTGAATACTTTTAAAGGTTGGGAAATTAAAGTATTGGATTCCTTAAATTTACAGAAATTGGAAGAATTTTCATAGTTTCCTGTACGGTTCCTGAGTCTCAGAAATCGACCATGTTGTTCTGTGGAAAGTGACTCTGAGCATAGGCTTAGAGGGGGCAGAGCGTATGTCTTGTTGGTAGCTGTGCTTAGTCACAGGATTGCTTAATCCTGCTTGGCATACGTATCTCGTTCAGTGTACCAAAGTCTATGTTTTATGAAATTTATCACTGTACGTAATGAACTTTCCTCATTGTCTTAAACTGTAGCTCATGATAAGACTGTACGGTTTCATGTAGGGTTTAGATCTGTGAGTTCACGTATTAGAAAGGCTTGATCGGATGGGCAGTGCGTTTTCTATCCCTCGTGCTTTGTTTTCTCTCACCAAGACATTCTGCTGAGCGTTTGTTAGGAAACTGTAGGTTTCTTACATTCCTAATTTCAGAGGGTCTGAGGATGAAGAGTAAAATTTTTAGTGAAAATCTAGAAACAAGACAAATTAGAGATAGAATCTTCTACGAGAATATAAATAGTGCCCAGTGGGGAAAAAATGATGCATTTTGAAGCAACCAGGGTAAAAGAGAATTAGCTCTTACAAGCAGATAAAAATAAAATGAAACAAAATAACCAATATAATATATCACTTACTGAAATGAGAAATAGGTTTATTAGGGATAAATCGAAATCCTAAGAATTATAAAAAGAGATTTTATAAATTAGAATAAAAGTCGTAAGACTGGTACCTGGACACGTTAGCTTCTTTTTCTTTACATTCTACTCATACTGATGATGTTAGAAGTCACGACAGTAGCCGTCTCTCAGGCCCAGTGGAATTGATAAAACACAAAAATCTGTGAAAATCTGAGATTGAACACTGTCGTCAAATGGACCTGTTATGGGCAGTTGCCCCCTGCTGGTTTGAATCATTCGCAGCTAGAAAGGAATCTTTAGGACAGAAAGTTTGCCATAATGAACTCAGAAAAAGATTAATTTTAGCATTTTGGTAACTGCAGAAAGCATCCAGAACAAAGCGTTCCTCTCTAAATGCTGTAACCACACTGTAAATTTCTCATTATCATGTAAATCTAATGATTGAAGATTGTGGTTTGTATTTGTGTTTTTTAATTTAGTAAGATAGCTGTTGTTAGCATTCTATTTGTGTCTGCGTTAAGATTACTTTGTTAAATGTTGTCATTAGTTTAAGATTCCAGTAGTAATAAAATGAATGTAATTTACTAACAGCATTTATTTTATAGGAGCTTATCTTACAAATTTTGACCAAAAGTCAGGGTAGAAATTTGTGTTTTCAGAGTCACTGTTGCTTCTTCAGCTACACTGATGAGTTGTGTTTACTAATTTTTGTGTTGTTGGGCTATTAACAGTTCGCATGGACTCATGTCACTTTACTGATAACCGTTACTCAGTCCCACCTTGTCATCCAAAATCTGTTTGAAGGCATGATATGGTAAGGGAACAGTATATGCTGCTTTTATTCATATCCTAGCACTTTTTAAGCTCTTTAACATTGGACAGTGTCTTACAGATTTCTACTAAAATGTGCTGTTTGCGTATTTCATTAAAATATCTTACCAAGTTTTGCTTACTGTTTGACAACTAAAGACAAAGTACTTCATTAACAACTAAAACCTTTTTATTCAGATTCCAAATAGAGTACAGAAAGTCCCCCATAAATAAATAATTATATTTGCATGTGTTAATAAACTCTAACTTTTTACTAAGATAGACTGTAAAGATATTAAGATATTATATACACAGAATGCAAAAGCATAGGAAAGTTTGCTTGTCAGTAAACCATGTATTGGAAATGCATTTTTTTCCAGGTGAAATTGGGTGGGTTCTCCTTTGCTTTCATACAGGAATAGGTTTCCAGATCTCAGATATACGGAGTTAACTGTCTCTATAGCCGTGACTTGCATATTCAGAAAGGATTTTTATTAGTTACAAATTATAAAACTTAAGTTGGAATGGAGAAGAAGCTTAAGATTTAAAAAAAAAATCCATTTGTCTTTTTCCTTGTACAGTGAAAAAAAATCTGACCCTATTTTTCCCACATTCATTGTAATGGATTAGTTAAAGTCTTTTACAGTTGATGGGTTTTACCAAGATAAATTTTATTACCTTGACAGGTTTATGTTTTTCTACCAAGGAGGGTGTGTGTATTTGTGTAAACAACTGGAATCCCTATGCTATCATCTTCCATGTAGTGTACAAACTTTTAATTAATGGGGACAGTTACAGGAGTAAGTAGGTTCTATACAATTAGTAGAGTTTAATGCAGTCATAGCTAAGATAGAATTAAAATTAATGAAAGGCTTCTTAAGATAAACTTTCAGTCTGCATATTATTATTATTACTTGTTCCACATAAAACTAAAATTTGATCTGGACATCGTAACTTGTGCCTATAATCCTACCTACTTGGAAAGCTGAGGCTGGAGGATTGTTTGAGCCCAGGGGTCTAAGACCAGCCTGGGTAACATAGGGAGACCATGTCTCCAAAAAAAAATTAAAGAATTAGCCAGAGGTAGTAGTGTAAGCCTGTAGTCCGGGCACTTAAGAGGCTGAGGTGGGATGATCACTTGAGCCCAGCAATTTGAGGCTACGGTGAGCTATGATAGCACCACGGCTCTCCAGCCTGGGTAATAGAGGAAGATTCTCCAGAATAAGTTAAAATAAAAAAAAAAAAACCTAAGATTTTAATATCTATAACTATAGAAATAGATAATTTAATATTTTCTTTAGCATTATTCTCCTAGCATTTTGCTCCATTTAAATTGCTAAATGGGCAAATTTGGTGGACAGTCATTGTTTCTGCTCATGACTTGGCAAATACTGTAATGTGGACTAGGCTGTAGCACCCCCCACAGTATTCCACTGGTTTATTATGAGTCACAACCTGTAAGATGAATATTTGCAACTTAATCATAGGAACTTTTTTTTTTTTTTACAGGTTCCTTGTTCCAATATCAAGTGTTATCTGCAATGACATAACTGCTTACCTTTTTGGATTTTTTTTTGGGAGAACTCCATTAATTAAGGTAATAGAAAATTATGGCAGATTGGAGATGATATTAATGATTCCAATTGTTTATGCACACACATGCACACATGTACCCCCTGGTAAAAAAAAAAAAAAAGCCACAGCTGTCAGGGACATAAAATTTATCTTGATACACATAAAAGCCATCAACTGTAAAAGACTTTATTCAATTAATCAGCTTAAAATGAATATGGCAAAAATATGGTCAGTTTTTTTTAATCTTAAACTTTTTCTCCATTCCAACTGATTTTTAAGTTTTGTAATTTTTAGCTAATAAGTGTCTTCTGGATATACAAGCCTCTGCTAAAATGCAGTTCCCTCCATGCGTCTGAGGGTTATTACAACTGTAAAGATTAGCCACGAGAGGACATCTCCAACAACGCGGTGCTGTGACACATTTTTGATTTCCGAGCTTCTTAGATTTTCTTTAGCGGCACTTAGCAATGCAGTGTGGGGCGGTGAGCAGTTCCTGAGAATCCCATCTGGGTTCTTCAGCAGACATCCCCTGCCCGCTTAGTGAGGGCTGGACTTCACTGCCTGTCAGGCCTCACCTGGTCTCTCTCTTACCTCCTCTAGTGCTTTATTCTCCCCAGCGGCCTTACAGAGAAACCTTGCCTGACTCTGCCCTCCCCTCTAGGCATCTCCTCCTGTACCAGACTCGCTCAAAGAGAACATTATGCCATCTTTGCATATCATGTCTATTTATTTGTAAGATTTTTACATCCAAACTCATTTCAAAAAAAGATCTGGGGGGCTTACAATAAAGCGCTGGTGAGATGCAGGTAATAGTGACAGGTTAAGATGAGGGAGAGGGGGACCCCCAGGAGCAGACTGGGTTGTTTTGGGCAGTGGAGGCAAAGAAGGGAATGAGTTGAGTCACACAGTTCTCCTTTTGGGGAAAAAGAAACCAATTTTTTAGGGAAATCAAACGATTTTCTAGAGCTTTTTTTTTTTTTTTAATCCTTTCACATTGGGGCTTCAGGCAGGATTTCTTGGTTGACATGCTGAGTAACATCTTCTAGTACACTCTCACAAATATGTATATTACTTGGCTATTTTGCGTTTTGCTGTTTTGAAGGCAGTTTTAGGGAGACAGAGACAATTGTTCAGACACAGAACCCACCTGTTCAGAGTGGTGGGACAGGAGTTTTGCATTCCAGAAGAATTCATAAACTGCCTGTCCTTCAAAAACCGTCCCAGACTTTTTACCCCACCACGAGGAGGAGTCACAAAGAGCAGCGGCCGGCTGCAGGGATACTTGTGAGCAAGCTCTGTACTTTTAGAAGATTTCTAAAGTTGCTCTGGAGCAAGCAGTTAAGTATTCAAGAGTTCTGTACAGGCTGAGAAGTTTTTGGCTTGGGAAGCCTTCAGAAAGGCTGCTATAGCTGAAGGGAAGTCTCAACACCTGAGTTGAGCAGAGCTTTCCAGTGAATGGACCAGGCCAGATGAGTTGCAGGATAGACCTTAAGATAATTGAACACTTAACTCCTAAATCAGTGTGAGATGAATCAGTTTAATTTGGTAAGTTATCTTTGAAACAATAACAGGCACTTTGAATCTGAGCCACCCTTAACTTCATGACCGTAATACCAAATTATCCAAGGAGATGGTCCGTTCTCTGTGGCCAAATTGTTATCAGATTTGTCAAGAAACCATTTCTGCCAACCATTTCATTTGGGGCTTTTATGATCTTAAGGACAAAAAGCGTATAAAGAACTCTGTGGCTTAGCAGCTTAGTAAACCATTTCTGTCTTCAGGAACTTCACTCCTATATTTGGCTTCTGTCCCCAATGATGAGGTGACCAAATCTCATTTACATGGTCATCTTTCCCTCACATGACACCTCTGGGCAATTAGCACCGTCCACTCCTGACACTTTGCCCCCCCCCCCACAGAGTTCCAGTTCCCATATTCTTCTCCCCAAATGCCCCATTGACTGGGAGACAATAGCCTGACTCTGAAATAAACAGTATTGATTCTTACAAGCACAGGGCGTCCCTTTCTTTCTGGAAATGGAGTGTGAAAAAGGAGAGAAACGGATATGTGAATACTTAGGGAGCAAATATAGTATTTGGGGGCTGTGGACTGTTTTGCCACTTCAGAAAGACATTGTGGCGTGTGTACGGCACACGAGGAGCGTGGGAAAGCCTGTGCTGTGTGTCCCTGTCTGCTGTGTGCCTTCTGTTTCTGGTCAGTAACAGGTCGTTCTTGGTCACATGTACTTGGAATGTACATATCCCATCCTTGTTCCGAGAACTTACACCAAGTATTACAGGATGTTATATAAGCAGAAAGGTCATGGGCGATTATTTCAGTATAGACTTCATAGTCCTCTGAAAGAAAAAAAGTGAATTGAGGCTATTTAAGAGGATCAAGCGCATCTCCACAGCCCATCCAAAGTCTGAGCGCTTGTTGTGTATTTAAATCACTAGAGAGATTGACACAAGCAAATCGGGATCAGAGAATGAAGGGGAAAGGGTTCTGAACTACAGTCGTAAGAAGAAAGCAGAGCCGTGTACAAGGCATCTCAGGAACTCGCTGGAGGGAGTGGCACGTGCTCTGTTTGTGATGCAGTAACGCGCTTCCATTTTATCTGCCCTTCTTTTAGCTGTCTCCTAAAAAGACCTGGGAAGGATTCATCGGCGGTTTCTTTTCCACAGTCGTGTTTGGATTCACTGTGAGTTTCACTAGGATTTTTATCTTATGTTTCCTTTGAAAAATGATGCCAAGTTTATTAGTCTATTGTAAACCTGAAGAAATTAAACCACAACTTACTAATGTATCTGTTGAGACCAACTAAACAGAACCTATTCTGTAACTCAGTGGCTCTTAGCCTGGCTGCACATAGAATCACATAAGGAGCGTTCACAAAAGCTTTCTGCCTTAGTCTTCCCCCAAGCCCGTTAACTCCTCCAGGTGATTCTAATGCACAGCCAGGCTTGGGACCCCCTGTGGTGCTGTTGTGTTTCAGTATTTTCTAACAGCTGTTCTGCCTTGGGGGGGACGCAGGTACTGGGCAGTTGGTGGCTCTGAGTTACAGCAGAAAACACAATGTTGAAGCTGCTGTGAGTCCACCTTGCAGAAGAGTCTGTTAATTTCAAATAATTAATGTTTACTTTTAGTCATGAATAATTGATACTGTTCTTGTTTTAAAAATTAGTTTACAGTTGTGGAATTTAGCTTTTTATTAAAAATTGCCTAGTTAGAATCAATAAGGGTACAGTAAAATGGCTGAATATAACATAAATACACAAAGAAATTATTGTTACAAAGTTTAGCCTCAGTGTTAATTATAATATTCTTTACTCAAATGTAGTCTAACTAGTAACAACATAAAACTTTGAGAGAGAGCAAATATACAAATAAATGGAACTATGCCATGATCCTAGGTAGGAAACCACATAATTCCTTCATTTAATTTGTAAGTCTAGATCATTCTCAATGAAAATCCCTATAAAATTTGATAAAATTACTCCAGAGTTTTTGTCTAGAATATCAATGAGACAATATTGATAAATGGAATGAAAAGGGATCCAGCCCCGTCTACTGTTTTTACATTACAAAATAAGGATAATTAAAAAACTATTAAACTAAATGATACTGTAAGAATTTGGTATTATTAAAGATTAATATAGAAATACTACAAGAATAGCCATACTATTGCAAAAAAATAAAGGGCTACCGTATAGGAATGTAATGCTGGCTGGGCGCAGTGGCTCATGCCTATAATCCCCGCACTCTGGGAGGCTGAGGCTGGTGGATTGCCTGAGCGCACAGGTTCAAGACCAGCCTGAGCCAGAGAAAGACCTTGTCTCTAAAAATAGCCAGGTGTTGTAGTAGGTACCTATAGTCCCAGCTACTCAAGAGGCTAAGGCAAGAGGATCGCTTAAACCCAAGAGTTAGAGGTTGCTGTGAGCTATGACACCACAGCATTCTACCAAGGGCGACAAAGTGAGGCTCTCTCTCCAAAAAGAAAAAAGAATGTAATGTATGACAAATAAGGAGGAGGGAAATTATCTGTATTTTTGAGTAAATGGTTTTGAGGAAACTGATTATTTGAAAACCAGATCAGTTTATTCTAGAATGATATTTGAATTTTTGTTAACCATTCTTAATGGCTACAAGAGAGAAGAAAAAGAGAATAAGCTGTTGTCTTGCAATTTAAATTTATAACAGGATATTTTATTTTATGCATTGTTTAATCTCCTGGCAGAAAATAGCTAGTTTTAAAAACCGTAGTCATGTGGCCAAGGAAAGAATAAGTTAGTCAAAGTTTTCAGGAGTGGCTAGGAATAAAGGTATTTTTTTTTAACCTTTACTATTTTATACTATTTTCTCAGCAATTTTGAATCACTGATTAATTAACTGATGAAAGTAACACAAGCTCGTTTGCAAAAACTCAAATCGTTTACTCTCCCGTATCTTTATGATTGTGGTCATGCCGAGGTTGAAATCTCATTGACTTCAAAACCTGTTTGATTTTTCTAAAGGTCTTTCAAGTCTTTTGCTGGGATAATTCTGACCATCAACTTTAAAAAATCATAGGAGAATGTAACTACAAAGCAATTCTGGCATTCTGTCTCTGGCCTTTCTGACACATAACTTAAAATATATGTATTTGTTATTCAGGCTGCCTATGTGTTGTCCAAATACCAGTACTTTGTCTGCCCAGTGGAATACCGGAGCGATGTCAACTCCTTTGTCACAGAATGTGAACCGTCCGAGCTTTTCCAGCTTCAGAGTTATCCACTTCCACCCTTTCTAAAGGCAGTGTTGAGACGGGTAAGAGTAACAGTTCAAGGTTAAGGATCCTCCACTTTGAAGATAAGTTTCTTTAAAAGTGGGATTAAAAAAATAAATGAAAGGAAAGTGGGATTCAGATGTAACTGATTTTCTGTAAAATCTTTAACTGTTTGACACAGAAGTGTTTATCATCAGTATTGTATTCCATCCCCTGGGGATTTCTCCATTTTGAACCTGAAATGAGTTGTATACTAGGAATTTATTTGCCTAATGATTTAAAAACTGATGATAATTCATTTTCTATTGGTTTTGAAAGCATTTTTTTCAATATTTTGTAGGTTTTTACAAAGCAAGTGGATTAGAATGAGTTTCATACGTTACTGGTATGAGTAACTTAATTAAAATTCACCAATTCTTGATTTTTAGAGGACACTTATGAGTACAGAAAGCTGCTGGTTTTAAAATTTAGTTTTCCTTCCAAAGGGACATTGTGGCCATGTAAAGGTATCTGTGAGATCTTTCACTAAAGCAGAGTGTTGACCTGCTCCCCAGTAGAATCTTCTTGATCTGTGTCTGATCAGAATCTCTGGGTGGTTGGTTGAAGTGGGGAATCAAGCTGTCACGTGTGTGTACTTATGTGCACACACAGACGTGTTTATAGCTGAAACATTTTATTTTTAACTGAAATCCACAATTTTTGAGAAGCAGATTAGTCAACAAACTATTTCTAGCCTTGAGTGCTCAACAAGTAGATTCCAAGGGGGATTTTTTTCAGTGTCCAAGCTATAAACCATTTGATGCTGCCAACTTTGGGAGTGAAGGTGTTGCTTTGAGAACAGGTGCAAATATTGGTGTTCTCAAACATCTTTTTTGAACCACATCCATTATGCAACTGTTTATAATTTGTAGTTTCAGGTTATTTTAAAAAGAGCAAGGACTAAAGATTTCCAAAATAATCTGACTACAGGATTTCTCTCAATGTTTTTTTTTTTTTTTTGAGCCAGACTGACCCTGTCACCCTGGGTGGGGTGCCGTGGTGTCATAGCTCACAGCAAGCTCAAACTCTTGGGCTTGATCAATCCTCATGCCTCAGCTTCCTAAGCAGCTGGGACTCCAGGCAGCTGCCACAATACTCAGCTAGTTTTTCTATTTTTGGTAGAAACAGGGTCTTACTCTTGCTGAGTTTGGTCTGGAACTCCTGAGCTCAAGCAGTCCACCTGCCTTGGCCTCTCAGAGTGCCAGGACTACAAGTCTGACCCACCGCGCCCGGCCCCTCTCAATTTTATGCTCTTCTCCCCAAGCCTTTATTATGATGGTCTCACCGAAGCCCATTCTGGCATCTTCTTTAAGCCACTTACTGTTATGTGTTTCCACAGCATTCATCTACTGTCAAGAGAAAAAGCCTTATTTAGTCATATAAAATTAAAGTGAAATATAGTATAATATTAAATAAGTTACATAATTACAAAGACAAGGTACTGCTGGTCAAACAAAAGCAACCAAACTGCGAAATTAACTGATTTTTAGTAAGCCTACAATTGAGTTGTAGAAGCTCCTGGACAAACTAGAAGGTAGCCTGCCCTCTGTGCGATTTCCCGGTGCCTTCCGTGTCCTCGCAGGGGGAGCGGAGGGCGCTGGCTAAGTAGAGGACAATGCAGAAAGCTTGCCGCGTACACCTCTCCATGATTCTTAAGGTCTGTGAAAGTAGCAAGAATGTGCTATGCACTTCTTGTATATGTACTTGGTATCATGGTTCTTACCTTTGGTGGCGTGCTCAAATATAATTTTAATATATTTTTTATAATTTTTCACCCTCCCCTTCTTTCTCCTCTTTAGGAAACAGTGAGCTTGTATCCCTTCCAGATACACAGCATTGCGCTTTCAACATTCGCGTCTTTAATTGGCCCATTTGGAGGCTTCTTTGCCAGTGGATTCAAAAGAGCTTTCAAAATCAAGGTGTGTGTTTAGCTTCTTTGTTACGTTGTTAGAGACTGTAACATAGCTGGAGTTGAGTTCATTCTTGGTCTGCATGAAGCCCCTGGGCAGAAACTTCTCAGCCTCCGGGCAGCACTGCCTGCTGGACCTGAGTGTGCTCTTTCTTGTCAGGTTTTGGTCTTGCCATGTTTGTACATTTCAGTGTTATGTCAGTCTCTTTTATACAGATGGCCCTTACTGTTGGGATGGACAGAGAATCCCCAGCTTTCAAGCGTTCATTCTAAGAATCCAGCCATGAATTGTCTGATGTTTACTGTTTGGCCACAAGGTCTTAACTTTAAAAGTTTTTAACTTTTTTATATTTTTAAAGAATTTATTTATTTATTTATTTTTAATTTAATTCTTTTCCTTCTTTTTTGAGAGAGAGTGTCTCATTCTGTTGCCCTGGGTAGAGTGCCGTGGTGTCACAGCTCCCAGCAACCTCAAACTCTTGGGCTCAAGTGATCCTCTTGCCTCAGCCTCCTGAGTAGCAGAGTGCCCGCCACAATGCCTGGCTAGTTTTTCTATTTTTTTGTTTTTAGTAGAGACAAGGTCTCATACTTGCTCAGTCTGGTCTTGAACTCCTGAGCTTAAGCAGTCTGCCTGCCTTGGCTTCCCAGAGTGCTGGGATTACAGGCATGAGCCACTGTGCCCAGTTGGCCACAGGCTTTCTGGAAGGGACAGGCAGCAGAGCCTTTGGATTTGAAACTAACTGTTCACCCTACTGGCCCAGGAGTCATCAGGCCCTTTCTGTAAAGGGCAAATGCTAAACGTATTAGGATTTCCAGACCACAGCTTCAACTCTGAAGTCTACTGCTCGAGTAAAACCCTCTCACCTAGAGAGAAGATGTCAGAGAAGGGGCCTGGCTGGCTTTCTTTCTTTTTTTTTTTTTTTTTTTGAGACAGAGTCTCACTCTGTCACTCAGGCTAGAGTGCCAGGGTCTCAGCCTAGCTCACAGCAACCTCGTGGGTTCAAGTGACCCTCCTGCCTTAGCCTCCCAAGTAGCTGGGACGACAGGCGCCTCCCATCACTCCTGGCTAGTTTTTCTATTTTTAGTAGGGATGGAGGGGCAGGGTCTTGCTCAGGACAGCCTGAAACTCCTGACCTCAAGTGATCCTCCCACCTCAGCCTCCCAGAGTACTAGGATTGCAGGTGTGAGCCACTATACCTCACCTTGGCTAGGTTTCATAAGACTTTATTTACAAAAATAGCTCTGGGCTGGATTTGGTTTGTAGAACGTAGTTTGCTGATCCTTGTTCCAGAGATACAAAATTATTCTGTTTTAAGTGAGATCATCCTAAAGTGACACGTTATCTTGGCGTTGTATCTTAGCCTCCTTCACAGGGCTGAGTTGAGCTGGAGTGTTGCCAGTAGAGAGGCTACTGGACATGGGGTGGCGGGGGAGGCCTCTCTGAGGAGGTGCCATCTGAGCAGAGAGCTGAGAAGAGGAGAATGCATCCTGCAGAGAAATCTAAGGAGAGCTCCTGAGTGCAGAAGAGGGCGGCCTGAGCCTGTGGAAGGAGCCAGAGGTGGCGGGGAGAGGACAAGGCTGGGGCTGCAGGGCTTGGTGGAGCTGCACCTCGCAGGGCCCTACAGGTCATGAATGAGCTCAGGGGGCTCCTGCCATGGAAAGGCACTGTGTGAGGGAGGGCACTAGACAAAAGTACACTATACACACGGGACATGGGCCCTGTGCCTGGGGGCTCACTGCCCACAGGGGGAGTGCACATCCACAGAGAGCCACGCCGCGGCAGGACCCCTATCTCCTGAAGACGGCTGGCAGCAGAGTGGGGTTACGGGCTCCTGTGTGCTCCAGTTAGTGGGGAAGAGAAGGAAGGCCATGGCTGGCAAAAACCAACCAAAGGATTTTTCAATCACCATTTTAAACAGAAATGTCATATTTAGAATGGCATTCTTATAATGGTCTCAGGGACAATCCAGGGCTTCTTGGTGAATGCTGAGGTTTTTTTTTTTTTCATGTCTGAAATGAAGAAGCGATTGCTATTGCATTGTAGGTGTTTTTAAGTTGCCTGAGTGAACTAGAAGAACAATTAGTCCTGTTCATTTCCTGGGCGCTCAGAATGTGAATATGTCTGCCCAAGGTTGATTCCCACGGCTCACTACCTTAGTCCTCAGTTTGGCCACTTAATGGACTAACATGGCCCAAGTGAGCGAGCTGTGTGATTTTCTTTTTATTCCAACAGTTTAAAAAAAATGTATCATATTAGTAAAGTGTTTATTAAAAAGTAAGAACTGTTAGGGTAAACATGAGTTAAAATCAGTTGTGCATCTGTCAGCCACACTAAACTATCCATAGCTACCCCAATAACTTCTGATTAAACAAAAGGATAGGCCATACAAAGTTAGATTAGTAATAGCCGATAGAATTTTTATTTGGAAAATATTTTGTTAACTAAAAACATTCAGTGCTAAATTTAATTAATGTTTAATTAGTATTTGGATGGTATGGGTCAATTCAGAAATTATTTCAGAATGAGCATGTATTCAGAAAGTACGGTTTTTATCTGTTGGATAGATTCTAGTAAGTGTGTATTTAGTGAAAACAATCCAGTAGTAAATTATAACGGAACATCCATAGTTGACCACCTCCCTACATTGACCACCTCTTTAAGTTGATCTGTTCTATAGACTAGACACACACCACATGCCGTTATCAGCAGAGTAGGCCTAGTGCCTTATGTTGACGGCCCGTTTTAGTTCCCCTTGGGTGGTCAACGCACAGAAGTTCTACTGTATTTATTTTCCTCATAGAGTCTCTGATTCCAAGGAAACACTTGTAGAGAGAAATTTTATAACAGGTGATTTTTGGGAAAATTTGCTAATATATTTGTTTGTTCCTAAAGGATTTTGCAAACACCATTCCTGGACACGGTGGGATAATGGACAGATTCGACTGTCAGTATTTGATGGCAACTTTCGTGCACGTGTACATCACAAGTTTCATAAGGTACTTGTACGTCAACAAGTTTTTTAGATGATTTCTTTGAGTTCTCACTTCTACTGACATGAGTTTGAATAAGTTAACTTTTCTGGTCAGTGGTAATCTATAATATCGAAAGGAATAGTGGCCCTGGAGTTATCGCCCTGAGGAGTATGCTGAAACTGTAATTGTTTTACATGTGTTTGAACAACTCACAAAAAATGGGAGTATACGTCATGGTCCTTAGTGGGAGAAGGTATTGGATTTGAAACAAGAGGAGATTTAACTTACAACTGTGGACGCTGTTAGGAAGGCGAGAACATAAGCCTCCAGTCCCTGGTCATTGCTCGGGTCCCTGTCACGTATCTATTTTTATTTCTAGTTCTATCAATTTTTGCTTGATATACTTTGGGTTGCATGAGGTCTTTACACGTTTAGGATTGTTGTATCTCTTTGTTGAATTGACCCTTTTGTCATTATACAATGTCCATCTTTATTGCTTGCCTGAAAGTGGACTTTGTTTGATATTAGAAGAGCTACATCAGCTTATTTTAGTTTGTTTACATAGTAATTTCTATGTCGGAACTTTTATTTTAGTATTTACTTATCTTTATATTTGGTGTATTTCTATTTTTAGAAGCTTGGAGCTGATTTCTTTTTTTATAACTTGTTGACAATCTTTTTATTTGGGGTATTTAATGTATTAGAATTTTATTTATATGTATAAGTAATATATATAAATTTGGGGGTGGCATTAGTAATTATTTATTAAATCTTTAGAACTTCATTTTCAGAAGATGACAGCTTCTTACTGACAGCTTCATACTCTGTCTTTTTTTAAATTTGCTATTCTCTCAGTAGAGGAACCATGTCATTTCCCCTTTTGAAAGCAAATACTTAGACTATTAGAAATACAGGGACAGTGCCAGGATGCTGCTTGCTGGGAGCACCTGCTGACAGGATTTTGCATTTAGCTGAACTTGCTGACGTAGCCTCCTCTTCTGGTGGGCCCCTACTCTGCGCTCATGCCATGCAGTTGCTGGGGCTTTTTAAGAAATGTAATGAAACTGACTGTCTTGACTTGAGTGTGCGAGGCATATGGGCACCATTTCATGGCAGAGGAGCCACAAGCACTGCAGTGACCATGGGGAGACTAATCGGGGCTCTTGTGCAAAATTTTAAGTCCCAGATTTGCAGAGTAAATAGTTCCTCTGCTCATCCTCACTGGGATACCACTATACAGTAGGTATTTCTTTATTGCTGGGATTTCTATTTCCTATAATTATATTTGAATGGTCTATTGTAAATCATAAATTCTTTACCTATGAGAATATCTTTCTCAGAATTCTGTGCCAGTCCCCACACATTACATCTCGCTTCAGCCCGTTGGACTTTAAAGCAGATCTGCTTTGATATGCTTTCTGTATTGGGGTTCAGCTAAGACTGACCTCCTTCTCTCCCTCCCTTCCTTCATAGGATCTTACTCTCTTGCCCAGGCTAGAGTGCAGTGGCATCATCACAGCTCACAGCAACCTCAAACTCTTGGGCTCTAGTGATCCTCTTGCGTCAGCCTCCCCAGGAGCTGGGACTGTAGGTGTGCGCCACCACCCCTGGCTGAGTTTTCTACTTTTTTGTAGAGATGGTGTCTCATTATGTTGCTCAGGCTGGTATTGAACTCCTGACCTGAAGCAATCCTTCCACCTTCAGCCTCCCAAAGTGCTGTCTTCCCACTTGCCAGGCTGAGACTCTGCGCCTGGTCCTAAGACTGTCTGTGAACAAAGGCGAAGAGGCAGCTCAGTGGACTTGTTCCTTGTGTTTTGGCTCTCCAACATTCATAGCTTCCTGGGGATGTTTCCTCAACAAAGTACCTTCCATCATCTGAAGTTTCTTTGAAGCTAAAAATTTAAATTGTGTTTTCATGCCCTCTTTCCGGTTTGTCCTTATGGGATGCTTCCTGTATCTCATCTAATCTCAGGACTTGGTATTTATCCTCAACTTTAACTCAGGTGGCCCTGTTGAGAATTTGTGTAGTGCTTGGTCTGTACCTCCTGAACCCCCTGTGGTGTTCTTGTGTTTTGTGTTTGTGCCTGCTGTCCACACCTTCCTGCTCTTCACCTGCCTGATCGCCATACGTGCGCCCTGCGTCTCCCCACCTGCTCTGTG